AAAACGCATTTAGGAAAAGTGTACAATAATGTCTTTACATCTAACAAGTCCCAATACACAATTTTTTTTACGAAATATTACGAATTTTTGGCTTCGTTCCTGTTTTTTTCTTTAAATGCTACTGATCGTGTTATATTTCTTATTATTTTTTTCTTTTTTTTACATAAAAACGAGTTTAATATTTTAAAAAATCTCAGGATAATATACACATTTTTCAAAAAGCTTCCCATTTAAATTCTATTGCACGAAAAAGAAAGAAAGGTAGGAGGAAAGAAAAAATTAAAAAAAATTTCAAATTCATATTTCAGTATGGTTACAAATGTTAAAGGCGAAGGTTGTGCTTGTTGTTTTTCCGCTGTTTCAAGAATTTTAAAATAATTATGAATGAAAATATTAATATATTTTTTTGATTTTTCAAATATATTTTCTAAATTTTACCAACTTATTATATGTGTTAATTTATTTTAATATTTTTTCTCAAAAATAGCCACTTCGATTTAAAAAAAACCCATATAAAATAAGGTCGGAAAAATAAAAAAAATCAGAATACCTTATATTTTCTTTTTCTTACTGCGTTCAACGGCATCGGTGCGTCTTCATGTATTTCTTTTTTGACCAAATCTTAACACTATAAAGGGAAATATGGACAACAATTCACATTAAAAAAGCATATTTATTACATATAAATTAAGTAAAGCACCTGATGTTAAATAAATTTTACCACATTATTTCATTTAACATTTTGAATCAAAATGTTCTGAACATATTGTACTATTTGATAAAACATTTACAATTAAATCTTCTGTACTGACAAGTACAATCCGCCATCATTTCTAGAAAAACTGTAACTACATTAAAAAGTCCATTTTAAATAACGTTTGTATGGTACATTTTGGTAAAACAAAACAAAATGTTTTGTTTCCGAAATTAAAAACTTATATTTAAATGTTAGTATATTCACATACGTGTGGTAGAAAAATTCATTTGTTTCCCAAAATAAATATGCATAGTTTGGTTTTTTTTGGTGTATGAATAAAGCATAACCTTAATTTTTTTCGGCATAGCCATTTTTTATACAGCTTTTTTTATTGTTCAAATGACAATTTTATTAATAGATATATTTAAAATATTATGGTTAAATGCCAAAATAACTGCAAAAACATGCAATCCATCTGCTGTATATTAGAAATACTATTTATATGAGATGTGTTTTCTCTCTAATGTTTCATTTTACTAACAGTAAGTTGATAGGAAGAATAAAGCATTACTGTTCGTGCATCCATTTTTTTTGAGTTAAAACAAAATTTAAATTCTGCCTAGAGGCTAGAGCAAAACCCACGTGATTATTAATCTTACATAGTCGTCGGATAAAAAACTTGAAAAAAGTTTAAAAAGAGAAACAATGACGTAAATTTTCGCAAAAAGAAAACAAAATTATCATTTAAAAAAAATAAACTAGACGGAAAAGTTGAATAAACTTTTCCAAACTTTATAAATACATGATAAACGTCAAATTTCAAAATATTTATCAAACATAAACAAATATTTTTTGGTTATGCAAAAAACCTAAAATTTTGATTTTGGAAACTGTGTTTGGAAATTTTTAAAAGTTTTGAAAAAAAAAATGTTGTTGATGAAATTTTTTTGAAAAATAAAACCTTCAGAAATAACCAAGAAAAGCATGTTTCGACAGCTGTAAGATTTTAAAATTTAGGTTTTTAAAGTCTAGGACTGCCTGGCATAGAAAGCGCCTGTTATAATACTTTTTGAACAAAAATAGAGAAAATGATGACGTTTTAATTTTCTCAATGTTTAAAGTGTTTTTCAAAAACAAGCATTAATTTCCCAAATTTCCAATAGAATGCAACACTAACCGCTACTTAGTTCTTTTTTGGCAAGAAATTTTTTTAGGAAGTGTGAAAGTCTTTAGCAGTTTTCGAAAAGCATTACTCTTTTAATCACTATCTTTAAAACATTATATTTGTTTATACCAGGAAAATTACGTTTAAATGAGAGTTCAAAAATTTATAAACCGGAAATTTTTCTCCAGTTCCAACGAGTTTAGAAATTGATACTTAGGTAAAAAATTCTGTTTCATAAAAATAGTGTTGCGGAACTATCGATATATTAAAGCATCGATATATTAGATATATCATAGCAAAACTGTCGCTATATGTACATACATATACAGTTTTGTAATATAAACTCTGCACAGTTTAAGTGGCATGAAATTTTGAAATACTAAAGCACAAAACAGACTTTCTTCAAATTTAAAATTTTTGAGAGCGACACCATAACACCAGTGCTAAATTGAATCACATTAACATTTAACTTGGAACTCAGTATTCAAATGGCATTGTTAAATTTCAATTTTGAGTTTTGAGATTGTTCATGTAAAAAGAAAATAAAAAAGAATAAAATAATGCAAAATATTTAAAATATTCTTTGACTAAAACTGAAAAGAGGTATGAACTTAGGTATGTATGTATATTATTAATTTGTATATCCATTTATATTGTTATATAATTCACAAATTTAAATAAAATATTTAATGAAAATTCTTTCGTGTCAAAATTTCCATTTAAAAAGAGTATCTTCGAAATTGCATTTACAACAAATCAGAAACATTGTATTCTTCTGAAATATCAACAAAAAAATTTGACGATGTATCTTATTTGGGAAATTGTGTACCGAAATTTTTTTGGATACATATGTTTGTTTTTTATATACATACATATTTCAGTTGTAAGTAGAAACTTTTAAATTAAAATTGAAATTTGCTATTAAAGTAAGCAATGGAATGAAACAATACAATGCATCAAGATTTTTAAGTTTTCAAATGTAAAATAATACAATGTGTTTAAAAAAAGGATACATTGTATCAAAAATTAAATTTAAATTTTTTAAGAATTTATTTTTTTTTGATTTTAACAAAATCGTACATCATTTATTTGATGATTATGAACAAATCTAAAATTAATAATACCCTAACAAGATTTTAAATATTTTGTAGATAAATATGTAAAATCCTCTCAAGCAAATCAAAAAGAAAGGATTAGATGGCATGTAAATAGTAGTTTTGTATTGGTTATCTATCAAGTATTAACAGTAGATTTATTACTAAGTATTTAATTTTTCAACAAATGGGAATTTTAGATTTCACTCTTAAAACTGTGATTCAATTAAAAAAAAATTAAAAGAGCCTACTTATACTTTCATGTCCATATTCGGTGATGCAAAAATATTTCATTCTGATAGAGTTTACAAAGCAGAAAAGTTTGAGAAGCCGTGATATGATACTTACACGATTGTATATATGTATGTACATATGTAACAGTAGGTTAATGTCCTTATATCTAACAAGTCCCAATACTCAATTTTTTTTACGAAATATTACGAATTTTTGGCTTCGTTGCTGGTTTTTTCTTTAAATGCCACTGATCGTGTCATATTTTTTATTTTTTTCTTTTTTTTTAAGTAAAAAAGAGTTTAATATTTTAAAAAATCTCAGGATATTATATACATTTTTTAAAAAGCTTCCCATTTAAATTCTATTGCACGAAAAAGAAAGAAAGGTAGGAGGAAAGAAAAATTGAAAAAAAAATTCAAATTCATATTTCAGTATGGTTTCAAATGTTAATGAGGAAGGATGTATGATTTTTCATGCACATTTTGTATTTCCCAATAAGGTAAGTTGAGTAGTGTCGGCTAACAAAAATGTTATTAAAAGTAGGTTGACACATTTCAACAATTTGAATTATCGCATTTCGGTTATTTATACGTTACTTATAAAATTATTTCAAATAATTTCAGTTAGTTTTTAAGTTATTAAAAATAAATATGTATGTACCTACTTCCAATAATTTTTTTTTTAAATAATTATTTTAAAACTATTTCAAACATGTTATATTGAGTGCTTCAAAGATTTTGCTGTGCTCTTTTTTCATATTTTATTAGCAGGTAAACAAGAGCAATCTATTTATAAAATGTCCTGCATGTGTATGTATGACCTATCTTAATTCTAAACGGAAAGAATATTACATAAAGAACAAAAATTTTAAAATACCTGTTATTTTACAATCGGAATTTTTGAGTCATTTGGTAAAATACCATTTATTTGAAAAATAAAAAAATATTCAAATCCGGTCATAAAAATATATGATTGTTTTTTCCAAACATATTAAATATTTTTTTTTTTAGGTAATTGATATAAATGATAGTAAGTTTTTAATATTTTTCCAAATAAAAATAGAGGTAAAATTTTGAAGTTTATATAAAATTTGTATTTAACAAATAATATTTGATTGTATTTTAGTTATTATTTTCTAATTCCCTCTTAAAATTTTTTAATTTTTTCTTTACTATGTATTTATATCAATATTTAAGAATTATCTTTCATTAATTATATTTTCAACTTGACACCACAGTTACTCCCCATATCTTAAGTTAACTTACCCTATGAGAAAAAAAAGCTGTTCACTTAAAAATATGAAATGCTTTCAGTAACGTTTAAAACGTTGATGGCGAAGGATGTGCTTGTTGTTTTTCCGCTTTTTTTTAAATTTTAAAATAATTATCAATGAAAATATTAATATATTTTTTTGATTTTTCAAATATATATTTTCTAAATTTTGCCTGCTTTATAATAAGTGTGAATTTATTTTAATATTTCTTCTCAAAAATAACCACTTCGATTTAAAAAAACCCATATCAAATTAGGTCGTGCTTTCAAGTTTCTCTCTGAGCATTGGGACTTGTTAGATATAAAGACATTAAGTAGGTATATATATGTACATGCATCCATAATATACTATAAAAACATGCAATAATAATGTGGAAGCCAATTATAATAATGTATAATATTCGAAGTGTTCCCTAAAATAAGTAGTAAGGGATACAGCAAGTGCCCCTTAAAAATTTGAAAGAGATATTTGATAATTAACACTTAGGAAACTTAATATTAAACCTTGTAAGTCTAAGTTTGTTAAATACATACTTACCTAAGGTATAATTATCTTCATTGCTATTTCTTATAAAATAATTAGATTCACTGAAATGTGTTTTTGTTGAATCACTTTTCATTTTGGACATTGCGTTTAGCGTATGACCCACTAACTTTTTGCTATTTTTGTTTTCTTTTATCCATTAATTGTGAAATATTATTCTAATATGTATGTACATATGTACATATGTATACAAAAAAATTAAAACTGAAGCCTTAATTAATAAAGTAAATTAAGAATTAAATTAAATAAATTAATACATTTTATTGTCGTTATTATATTATGTTCATACTTATAATTGCAGGCAGACATCAAACATAATATGTACCGAATTGTATTTAAATATGTGTTAAATATATATGTATATGCACGTATCCATATATGTAAACATATGTATCTTTACATACAATAGCAATACATATATACCTTATAGTACAATATGAATGCAGTAGATATACGACATGCATACATGAACTATAATGATCACACATTCTGTTATAATCAAATACGCATGATATGTATTACACTTTTTAATTAACATTATTTCTTTATATAAAAGGTTATCGTAATTTAACCTCAATATAAAATATACATACGCTTTATTCACATATGGATACGCTTTATTCACATATGCACATATTTAATGTATAACAGATTATAGAACAAAGTTACTGATTCGACCAATAAATAAAGAAAATTTATTTTAAAGAAAAATTATTTAAAAAATATTACATTTTAAATCACTTAATTTTTTTTTTAATTTATTTGTTGAAATAAACCAAGTAATTTGATATATTTTATTAAATTCAAGTGAAGCTTATTGACAGCAATATTTAGTAAATTAACATTTCTATTTTAAGTTAAAATTTTATCTGATAAGATATTAGTTTGCCTGAACATATTCACATCTACATACAAAACACAACAATGAGTTTCTATTTTTTATTATATTTGTTTTTATTGTGAACACATTTTTTGTTGAATTTTCAGAAATGTACATTTGCTACTTGTAGATATAAGTAAATATGTACTTGGGTACGTATTTACTTATATCTACATTTATGTATGTATATTTGTACTGTATCAACATATATTTTATAAAGGGTTTTTATTTCATATTATTGCTACGAATATAATTCTAAACAAACATAAAACAAAATTTAACGTGATTTTAACAAAACGAAAAATTGTTGCAATTTTATAAAAATTTAATTCAATGCAAAGCCACGTCTACTTTATATATTTTTCGGGTGATTACTAAACATACATATCAAAAAAGCTTTTCAATTTATGGCAAAGCGAAAAAAAAATGATCATGTGGTTATTATCAAAGCATATCTATTAGGAAGAACAAGTATATTCACTTTGAAGTAACTTTCAATTTCTTCTGCTTAAATCTATCAGTTCTTTTTAAAATTTTGTGTGGAGAAAATAATAAAATACGTATTGAATGAAAACTGGTTTGCCAAAAATGATGAAGCGAAATAAAACAAACCGATTACATAAACCCTTACTATGTACAGCAAATAATTCCCAATATTTCAAAGGCCTGATATTACAGAGATATTTTCCACCAACCTAATTCCAAAAATGTATTTATCAATTTTGTAGCTCAGTTTGAACAATGTAACTTCAAAAAGTTGCATTGTTTTTTACCTTATAATTTTTTTATGGATTAGCGTATATACTTTAAAGGTAATCTACTTTTGTGAAACATATTTATGTGACTTCTAGTCCCAAACGGGCAAAGCATTATAGCAGAGCGTTGTTCAAGTTTTGATTTTTATTAATTTCAAATCAAACTTCGCTTCTGTCAAATATTGAGTACATCGGAATTCATTTCGAAAACAAATATTTCACTACGTGAAATACTCAAAAGAGACTATGAAAAAATTAACATCTATAATGAACAAAATTTTACTGCATTCATATATAGCTTTACTTCAGTCGGCTTCACATCAAGCGAATTTAGAGCTCATATACACGCAACTTGACTTGAAAATTGACTACATATGCGCGAATTTAAAAATGCCTGTTACATATCAGATTTAATCGTAGATTAAATCTGCAACTAAATCTGAATCTAGTGAAAATCTGGTGTTTAATTGAAGTCCGAAATCATGTAGAAACAATAAAAATATATTCAATTATCATGGGACCTTAAAATAACATGGCTGAAAATTAATTTTTAAAAAAGCTTTGTCATGATCACTTGATTTTTGTTTTTTTTTTCATTTTTGTTACGAGTTTATAGATTATAAATATTAAAAATATTGCCATCAAAAGTTTGATGCAAGAGCACAAATAGAATCTAATGTGTAAATGCTCATTTTAATGTAGATTAACATCCTAATCGTGTATCTCCCTTTTTTACTCACTTTTTATTCACTTTCAAATTAGAATTCTACATTTTTCTACTGAATATTTAATTTTTCCAAAAAAAAATTACTCACTTTTACAATTTGATTTTTGAATTTTTCTCAAAATATTGACTGAACGTCTCACTTTCAAATACGAAAAGAATAAATTTTGTAAACATTTTAGAACAAAACGAGATACGCAATGCAAATTATTATAGCGAATATATGATAACCACTCATCTTCTTTTCACTTGCCGAGTAAAATAGCGAAGTAGACATTTATGCCCTAAATCGCAGATTAGAAGTCTGATCGTGAAAAAATCCATTTGCAAAAATGAGTAATCTTGGAAAAAGAAATATCCACTACAAATACGCAAAATTCTGGTTTGAAAGTGAACAAGAAGTTAGTAGAAAAAGCATGATGCACAATTAGTCTGAATTGGAAAAATTAATACACATATATTGCTTGTCAGCTAATGTCAAACTGAATTCTAATTCAAGTACATATATAATATTATTTCAATTCTGCACGGTATATACGCAGATTAAAACATCAACTCAGGTACACTTTCAGCCATATCGATGAATTAGAAATGCTAAATGAAGGAGCATCTTTAAAAAAATATCTTTCTCGTTCCCTCTTTCATTGCTCCAAGAATTGTCAAAGTTGTAACATGAGCGTGTTTATTTTATTTTTTCATTTAGTCTCTACTATTAATATGTGTAATTTGTAACTTGATTTTTTTTTTTTTAATAAAAATAAAAAATATTTAAAAATATTTTTTCATCTGAAATATGTACATAACTAAAAAAGACAATCAAATTTAAACAGAGCTCATTAATTTTTTTTTTCTGAATAATTTTATTTCATAAATTGAAATTAAATATACATATTTTTATATTACAATATCTTACGCTGCTTGAAAGTGACCCAATTTTTTAAATATTTGTTTCTGCGTTGGCTATTACTTACAATGCACTTTTTGTTGAAGATGATGATGTTATCAAAACATTTTTCAATGTGAGACATTGTTGCAGTAACATTATTTTCATTAATTTTCTGAATAAATATTCGTATATCATTTCTTTTTTTCATTTCGCTTATTTTGAATAATTGCTGAGGTCAGCATAAAATTGTTTTTTTTTATAAAACTTACACAGTAAAATTGCTTACTTTTACGTATTTCTAATAAATTTAAGTTTTACATGATAAAATTGCTTACTTTACGCTTTTACTATATAATTATTTTTCACACTTTTAAATGAAAAGTAACCAATTAATTCCAGGGTTTTCTGTCAAAACATGATAACGTATATTAATGTCTTTATATGTAACAAGTCCCAATGCTCAGAGGGAAACTTGAAAGCACGACCTTATTTGATATGGGTTTTTTTAAATCGAACTGGCTATTTTTTGAGAAGAAATATTAAAATAAATTCGCACTTATTTAGCAGGTAAAATTTAGAAAATATATTTGCAAAATCAAGAAAATATATTAATATTTTCATTCATAATTATTTTAAAATTCTTGAAACAGCAGAAAAACAACAAGCACAACCTTCGCCTTTAACATTTGAAATCATACTGAAATATGAATTTGAAATATTTTTTAATTTTTTCTTTCCTCCCATGGTATAAAGAAAACATGGTAGTATATTCAGAGTTTCAATTTTTGTATTTTCTGCGCATCTACGTCATCTGCATGGTGGAAATTTTTTTAGGTTATGTACAATTACATTGTTTAATAGGAAAATATGAGTTTCTCATAAAAGACCTATTTTGTTTTTGAAAAAATAAAAGATGAAGCTATTTTAGTTTTTTTGAAATTTTAATTCTTATTCATTGTCAATAATATTAAACATATTTTGTAACTTTTAAATTATAATTTTTTAGTATTTTTTATTTAAAACTTTTGAAAATAAACTAACATTATGTTAAAATTTTATTTACTTTTCTTTTTCTTTTTCGACTGTTTGATGATATTTCAGAATTATCTATTCGTATTTTAAAAAATATTTTGCAGCGGAAAAATTTCTTTTTTATATTTGAATCTAATTCTACATCATTTGCCAGCGTCAATAGATTATTTAGATAATTAAGGTTGACCCTTGATAATTTAGAATTATAGTTTACGAATATTTGGTTAAGTTTCTGTAATTTCTCCATAAAGTTTTCGTTAGGTTTGTGTAACATTCCTTCGGATACCATATCAGTCCAAGTGAAACTGGTAGTTGGGTTTTGTTCACAATAGTTTTCTATTAAATTTGGAATATTTTTTTTGAGCGATCGAATAATATATCCTCCAATATGTTCGAGTCCATCAAATTCTAAATCATTCAATTCTTCAATTGTATCATTTACAGTAGGCTCTGTTAAATCTGAAAGCATCCTATTTGCTAAGAGATTTTCACAATCATCGATTTCAATTTCTTCGCTGTTACTATTCGGAATTGAATACCCTTCATCAGCATTCATTTTAAAAGCTGCTTCCCGATCTTCTTCTACATTTGCAGATTGAGATATGATTGATTCATTTCGGCCCAGCAAATAGTTTCTAAGACGATACTTAAATTGTAATCCGGAAGGATGATCATATAGTCCTCCTTTTGCTCTCATAATTCCAAAAAAAAGTTCTAATGGATCTTGATTTAGCCTATACGTTAGCAAATATTTTGTGTTGTATTTTGCTTCTAAATCCTTATACATCATTTGTAATGCAACATTATTTTTTAAAATAGCTTTTTGGAATGGTAATAATTCTTTTCTATTTCCGATTCGCATATTTTGAACTAAGTTATTGATGTCTGTTAATATTTTTTCATGTTCCTCTGCAGCTAAACCATAAGCAGCCATTCGTGGCCGGGAATCAATTTTAGGTACTTTAGAATTGAATAAATCAAACCAATCGTTAACCTTAAATAAAAAAAACTAATTAATCACTTTTTTAAAACTTGCTGAAAAATAACTTACTGTTTTAAGAATTATTGATAATTCAAGCCAATATTGAGATTTTGCAATGCCTAAAGCTCCCATTCTTTTTAAAGCACAAGAATTGGTGTGGGAAAAAAGTTGTGTAGCAAATTTTACTTTTTGTCTTTCGGCTTCTTTTACCGTCAAATGGGTGGATGTTATACGGCTTATTTTTAAATCAAATAAGGACATATTTTCTAACAACTCCACTAGTGGCTCCTTTGTTATTAGTTTTTCTTCAAAAAATATTCCTGAATCCAAGAAATGATTTCTAAAAAGTTTAATTAGATGGGGCACATCACTAAAAACATAAATCTTGCTTTTAGCATCGCAAGGATTCACAAAAAATGGTTTTTCAACGGTAACTTCTAATGTATTCCATAGCTTTTGATTTGAAGCGCCTAAATCTGAGACAACACCTACGACGTCATAGCCAATTTGATGTAATTTTTGTATGAGTTTATTCAATATATTTTGTGTTATCGGTTGATCGTAGCTATAATATAATGGTTGCTTCCAATTTTCAAAGAGGCCTCTGGCCATTACCACCTATAATATATTTTTTATTCGATAATTAAACAAAAAAGATATAAATAATAAAGCATTTTCTTTTTTTTTCCTTCTTCACTCCTGGAAGGAGTATAGGGCTAGTGCATGATATCTATCATGCCCCAGTTTCTATACTCGTAGAGAGTTAGCTATAAATAATAATAAAACATACCTGAACATAATTAGCTGGCTTAAGCAATATATCGCTTTTTTGATCGTATTCGAATGATTTTTTTATTTTCATTTCGTCGAACATTAGAATACAAACTTTTTGATACTTACTTAAACTGGCACTACCCATCAAAACAAAAACAAAAGTTTAACATCCAGGGTTTATATCGATTTTAGATACCCACTTTTTTAAAGTTGAAACAGCTGGAAATGGATATTTCTTTTTTAGTAATAATCTATAAGCCTTAGGACCGCTGGAGTAAATTGCAATTGATTCAGAAATGTCTTCGATATTCCATTTAACTCGATTTCCTTTTTTAGCCATTTTTTTCCTTTGATTCGGCGTAAAAATATTTTTTAAACAATCATTTTCCTGCTTCAAAAAGTAACATTGTTTGCTCAACATCTTGTTATCGTTTTTCAATTGCTCCTTAGTAGGTGATTTTGGTTTACTACTATGAAACGAAAATATTACATTTTCGAATTATTTAACTAAAACTTTTGAATTACCATTCATTTAAGTCTTCCGTGCTTGTCGATTGATCACATTTTGAATTTTTTTCTTGAACTTCATCGTTAGTGTGAACTTCAACACAGTCAAGATTTTCGATCTGGTTGTCTATTTTCCTAAATAAAACAAATAACAAAAGTTAGTTGCCAAAAAATCTAAAAATTTTGAAAACGAACTTACAAAATATTAGTGACTGTTTCCTGTCTTTGTTTTTTAATATATCTTCCTAATCGTTCAGAAACTGTTTCACTTGACTTGGACTCAATTGCAGAAGGCAAATTTTCTGTCGGAACTGCGTCATCCTTCAATTTTTTACTATTTTTTGGCGAATAATTCAGCAGTTCATGCTGTAAGTTTCGCCGATAATGTTCTTGTACAAAATGTTTACTACATATGTACGAACTTTGGATATTAAATTTATCTTTCCTTCCACATTTTTGTATCCATATTTTTGCGATTTCCTTATTTTTTGGAAATCGAAAAAATTTCGTTTCCTTGAACGATGAATCATTCATATTTCTTTTTAATTTTTTATCGCTGTTGCTATTGCAATTAAAAACCGCGCAAATAACCATTATTAAGTGTATTTTTTAAATTATTAATTTTACTCTAACTATACGCCCGTCACTTTTCTATGAAAAATATTTTTGTTTACATTTTTTGCCATGCACGTGACGTAACACATTTAAAAAGAGATAGCAACAGACATGCGCAATATATTACCATGTTTTTCTTTATACCATGTTTCCTCCTACCTTTCTTTCTTTTTCGTGCAATAGAATTTAAATGGGAAGCTTTTTGAAAAATGTGTATATTATCCTGAGATTTTTTAAAATATTAAACTCTTTTTTACTTAAAAAAAAGAATAAAATAATAAGAAATATAACACGATCAGTGGCATTTAAAGAAAAAACCAGCAACGAAGCCAAAAATTCGTAATATTTCGTAAAAAAAAATGAGTATTGGGACTTGTTAGATATAAAGACATTACGTATATACATTTCTGCCATTTCGATAAAACACCACTGAAGTTTTTTTGTGTTATTTTTGCTTTATCAAAAAATTATCAGTGAAAGTTTAGTGTAGATAATACATAGTAAAATGTTAGCATTTTAAATTGTTGTAACAAAATATTACATATAATTAAAACTTTAACATATTTCTGTATATCAAATGAGATATACACTTTTTCCAATTGCAATCAGCATCAATCAGAATGGATTAAGTTCACTTATCTAATTTTAAATATTTTTAAACGCTCGTTATATATGAAAATAACCAACATGAATATTTAAATATTAAATGTGGAAATGAATACGTGCAGATGTTTCATTTTCAACTTGAAACGAAACGGTAAGAAAGCTAGAATACATTTTTATTTCGAAAGTGTATACTCGTAATATGACATATCTATATTTCAACACCTTTTTAGAAAATTATGACCTCGAGAAGTGAATTACTGTAGATATCTAATTTTGTTAGAAACATTTTCGGAACGATTAGTTAGTTATAGTGTTTGTCAAAGATTTTTTTTAAAAAGTACTGGATAAATTAAATTTGTTTTTCTTGCATTAGAAAACGTTTAAAATTTTAAGTGATACTGCATTCATAACTTATTTTGATCAAAAATTTAAATATGTTCTGACAAAAAAGCTTAGAATTAGTATACATATAACGTAATTGTAAGTTGGAATTTAAGTGATATTTTTCTAATAAATCTACATACATTGATTGAGCTTCAATAAAGGGACAATTTTGTCCAACGAAATTATTTTTTTTAACTCAAACATTTCCCCGGTGGGTTGGGGGGTAGAAATACCCACATCAGGCATGCTTGTTGTACGAGTCCTTTAAAATCAGGACAAAATCCAAGCGCGGCTGATCAAGCGTAGACGGCTTCCTGGTCTGCATCCGATTTTAGAGGGACGGTAGTGGAGGAAACCCTGGCTGGGTTAATAGCCATGTGTTGCCAACTTATAAACAAGTATGAAATGTCCAATAATAAGAAAAGTGCGGTAGGAAAATCTACCAAAGTGTATCAGTAGAAACCGACTGGATTCTTAAATCCAAAAAAAAATCCAAATAAGAGAAAATTCAAGAAATTATCAGAAATAGAGCTGCACTAAAAATTAGTAGCACCAAAGTGAAGAATTCCCCACCAAAGAAAAATATCAACTTAAAACACATAAAAATCCGCCGGTAATGGTAAGTAATACAACTATTTACACGCAGCTCTAATGATCCTCATAGAGAAAAGTATTAACATGAAGGTGAACATGATGAACAATGATCAACTAAAAATAAATTATGAAAATGAAAGTGAATATAAACCATTAACCAAAGTTGTTAATAAGGCCAAATTGTAATGACATGCTTAGAAAAATAAATTGATTAGGCTACTTATAAATTGACTAGAAATGGTCAGAAATCTACATCCATCATGTGAGCCAAAGGATATTAAATGTGAACTTATCCAAAGAGATTCATTAATTTTTAATTCCATTTATCCATGCCATAAATGGAATTAAAAAAATAAAAACCAAAGACATAAATAAAATATATAAAGTAGAATATCTTCAGCACATTAAAGAAAAGATGAGCCACAAAGAAGATCTAAGAAATAATGGTTCCATCCAGCAATGCAAGAGATGCCAGAGCTTCGGACACACACAAAATTTGTCAAAGATTAAAATTATTTATTTATTTATTTATATAACATTATGTAATAAATTGTGATAATATTATCAATACCCTCGGCTGCCACGGCCATTACGGATTTACAAAATTAATTTAACTTAATATTTATGTTGTTATTTTAATATTATGTTAGTTTGCAATTTCAATATTTTTAATTTTATTTTTTTGTGCATTATGATTTTTACATACTTCGTATCAGATTTAATTAAATCAAATTCCACATATTAAATAGGTCTCAAATACTCCTAATAAAATTGATATTCAAAGTTATTAAACCTTTGGAACAGGACTCCAAATAATCCCTAGAAACAGAGTGTTGCATAAAAATATGTTTAACCTTCAAAGTATTGCCACAAAAGGAACAGGTCAGCGAACTAGTATTATCAAATAGATATTTCTTCGTGAACAGCGTATGACCTAGACGCAATCTGCAAATTTTTATTTCTACAAATCTGTTACCTATCTTACCTCCTCCGTATACCGGAAGAGGAACACGCAGTTAATGGCATCTAAAAAAACTACCAGAGGTACACCACCTCTCCTGCCTTTTGGTATCTATGTAGTTTCTAATTTCTTTTGCCTTAGTTGCTCGAAAATAAATCTATTGAAGCTAGGACTACGTATAGCAGATCTGGCTTCCCTATCTGCAAAAACATGCCCACTTATGTTGCAATGACCCGGTATCCATACTATTCTAATTCTTTTAGTGTAAGAAACAATAATATTACGAATCGCCCGAATGATTGGCTGTCTATTTTCTAAAAATCCTGATTGCATTCAGAGCGGAAAGATTATCTCAGAATATTATTATTGATTCGCGATCGAGCCCATTACAGTATAGCAGTGCCTCGTACAAGCCATATTTTTCCTGATTAACAATTTTTGTTCATCAACTATAACGTAAGCTATCCCCTCCGTAGTTTGAGAAGCGTCTGTGTACACCCTATATGAATTAGTCCAAAAAATGCTGGTTGTAACTATGAGCGCCTGACTTGCAAAAACGAGATATTGACGTATCGGTAAGCTTTTGTATTGAAGCTCTGTTTTCTGTATTGCCTAAAATTGTGTGTGTTTGGCAAAGAGCTCTCGAAAACTCTTTCCGCATTTTTAGACAATTGTAAAGCTCTGACAGGCAAAGGCTTGTAGGGCACCATTACATAATTTCTATACAGCGCTGCGACTATCCTATTCATAGTTCTGCTTCTGCCACCATATTGATCATGAAAAAACCTACGAGATAAAAAATCTCTCCTTTCGGTGAAGGCTGGAAAACACAACTCAACCAGTAACGCATCAACGTTAGTCATTCTCAAGGTCCCCAAAGCCAGCCGAACAGCTTGATTCAATTGCACCTTGATCCTAGATTTTGAGTACAAAAACCACAAGTCCAAATTGCATAACCAATTCTACCGATTTGCAAGCCTCTGACAATCTGCTGTGTCACTCCCAAAGAAGGGTCAAATTCATTTACCTTTGACAGGTTGTTAATTCTTTTTAATTTTTGGACTAGTCGGTAAACTAGTCGGATTTTGGACTAGTCGGTTATGAGCCTCATAATTTAACCTCCTTGTAAAACCTAATCCTAATAGGGACATTTCATTCCTGAATGGAATCTTACAGCCTTCATATGTCAAAGATCTCGTAAAACTGCTTCTTCTTCTGCGTATATGGATGGCCTCCAACTTGTTTATAGGGAACCTAACGGCACGTGAATCGCCCCAACCTTTTAACAGATTCAATGCACGCAGTAGCCTTTTATTGATTTGATTATCCTTACCAACAGCATATATTAGCACATTGTCCGCTTATATTAAAACATTAATGCCCGTGACTTGCTGCAAGGTCCTAGGTAACGACGATATAAAAACATTGAACAAATGCATAGATAGAGGTGTTCCTAGAGGTATCCCCCTAAAAAGATTTTTAACGCCCGAATGTAAAGCATTTACTCTCATTAAGATCCTCCTATTTCTTAAAAATCTTCCATTGGTCCTGGTCATTTTAGCACCAATTTCCCACTCAATGATGTGCTTAGCCACCCCGTCGTATTCCCTTTCAATATAGCCGGAAACTGCAGTAACGTGCTCGTCCATGTGTAATGCCATAGAGCGATCACGTTCCAAAGTGCGTAGAAGGGTGTTTGTAGTCCTGATGGGCCTATATGCACGAATTCTACTTGATAATTTTCTTTCTAAAAAGTAGCTTAATCTGTTGCCAATGACTTTTCTAAATTTTTTGACAAAATCGACAGCAAGGATATAAACCTATAATTTTGGGGATCGTTAGGATTTCCCGATCCTTTCGGGATGGGTACGAGCTCCAGTCGAGGTGGATATAACGCAACAAGTCGGCTTCTAAAGTTTCTCGTGGTATGTCTCCGGCGTAGTTCCCCTATAATTATGCAGAACGTTTTCAAAATCACTTAAGATTATTTTCTTATTGAACAGGTCGGAAGTCTCTGCTGAGGCCGGCATCACAAAAGAATAAGAGGTGTCCTCCCATCAGGTCACCCTCACATAAATACTTCGAGCATATTTCACCAATGAAATTTGCATTCCTTTTAGAGTCAACAACCAGAGGACCCAAAGAATCATGTCTTATGGCAACTGTTGCCGAGTTTTTACGACCCTCATAATATACTAATGTAATAATATATTAGTATATTACATAATATAATAATAATAATTAACATCATCATTTCCAATGCTATTGCAAAATCCGGCCACAATTTGGCCCATGCCTGCTTATTTCTCTTCTTAAAATTGTGTTCATTCTGCGAACCCTGACTAACTTTTCTCGATTTGGATCCCTCTTACAGCTTTTTCATATTTTATCCCTTTCTTTTAATGATTTACCTATTCAATTTTCGAGCCATGGGGTTTAAATTTTAAGGAGGGGCCGAGAGTTTCATGGAACAACTGCATGCAAATCTAACGCT